TAATGTACAGCTTACAATTGTTTAATAAAGCACACATAACTAGCCTGACAGAGGATTATAATAAAAAAAAAAAAAAATAACTAACTTGACAAAGTATTAAATAATAATAATAGTAATAATATAGTTAAAAATAAATATAATATAGGCTTATTACCATAAACCACTGCATACAATACCCCCCAAAGTAATACCCCTCCTTAAATAATACCCAGTAGTATTCAAGAAAATTGTTATCCAATAAATGATTACTATCCAGGTATATTAAGCTAGAGCTAATAAAATTGCAATATGAATGGACAAGTGAGAGATACATCAGATGATAATAAGACACTAAATATACTACCCCCCTTCTAGTAGAATACCTCCCCAGGTACTAATCAATTTATCATGAGGTAAATTGATTAATACCTGGGGTATTGTATGCAGTGGTTTACGGTAGTATTTTAATATACTGTTAATGGAATGATAAATCACTCCCAAAGTTGCACTTAGAGTAGTAATTACAAAGATGAGTGAGCTAGTTAGTGTTTTTTAGCTTTAGCAATTCATATTATATGTACAGTTTACAAATGTTTAATAAAGCACACATAACTAGCCTGACAGAGGGTTAAAAAAAAAAAAGAAAAAAGTAATTTAATATACTGTATAATTTACAGTGAATCAATTAAAAAAAAAAAAATCAATAGATTAATTTAATATAACTATTTAATTTAAATAAAAAACCCATATAACTAAACTCGAAGTATAATCCGGACCTACTAGCTGTTTAAATATAAACTAATATATGAATTTTTTAAAACCGGGAGCCTACTAGCTCGTGGTTTTTAAAATCTCCAAAAAATTAATACTATAAGTTCAAAATTGGATTTTATTTGAGTATAATGTTCCAATTTTTTTTTAGTTGATCTGACAGATGTTGCGTGACAGATATGTTAATGAGATTATGCATCAATGCTATTTGTCTAAAGCTTATAATCAAGTAATATATTATCAATTAGTCGTGTTGTCCCTACGTATAATGCGCCCGACAGAATGGCCCCCTTTTCTCCGATTTCATCAAGCTCTAGTAATGTATCAGGATCTGCCAGTGAGAGATAATCCAATTTCACAGAAAATCCGAGTTTTCTACTTTCCATGTCTTTAGCAACGCGATCGACGAGTTCATAAGCCGGACCAAGAAGGCTCTTGCGGTCTCGAATATTATTATTTTCAAAGAATTCTTTTGTCTCATTTAAACATCGATATAGGGTGATGGCAACGTTCCGCATTTCAGGGGTGAGGTATTTATTACGAGAACTCATAGCCAATCCATCTTCCTCTCTGATAGTAGGTCCAACATGCATTTCTATTGGAAAATGTAAGTCTCGGATCATGTTCTTAATAACTATGCATTGCTGGATATCTTTCTGACCAAAGAATGTATGATCTGGTTGAACAATGTTGAATAATTTTGTAACTACTGTTGCAACGCCACGAAAAAATGTTGGACGAGATTGGCCTTCCATCTGAAAAAAATCGTGGATTATTTACATTAAACTGAAATAATTTGTACAGATTAGATTGTAGAATGGCTGCTTACTTGGTGAGATTTTCCCTTTACTTCTACGAAGGTTCCTTGTTGTTTTTCAACGTCTAGTGGAATTCCTGCCGGGTAAATGTCATCCACTTCTGGAAGAAACACCGCGTCGACGCAATCAATAGAGTTTAGTTTGTTAAGATCATCGGATAATGTACGTGGATACTTTTCAAGGTCTTCATGGGGTGCGAATTGCGAAGGATTTACAAATATGGAAACGACAAGAGCTTGACAGTATTCACTGGCTTGCTTCGCTTGAAAAAAGAACTCGAGATTTAATAAGGGAATTATCTGATGTTCAAATTTCGTTGTCATTCACCTAGACTCAAGTGTCCTTCGTGTAAGCAGCCCATGGTTGGAACAAATCCGACTAGCTTCCCTTCAGAACCCACTTTCCGACGCCAATTTCTGAATGATGGTATATTTTTAAAAATTTTCATGTTCTTTTGAATGACGATATCTTTTCCAAATTCTCCCTCTATCCAAATGATTCAATTGACATAAGCTAAACCGTACACACTCTGCGAACTTTTTTCTTTTACAAATTTACCCTGCCACTCCGTAGAATAAATATACACACGCGAACCATCAGCTGACTTCGCATGCTCAGAAGTCAACGAGTGCGCCATTTATTTTGACCGCAGAAATAAAGTTAAATGAGACGTAAACACATAACCGCTGGAGTTGACATCTACTCGTTCCACTAGCATGGCCAGTGACACCAAAACGTTTGATTGCACTACTGATCCCCTGCGTAAAAAAGATTGAGTTCGACCAATGGAACTTGAAAATGATCGTTCCACAAAATGCCACGACTTTCGCATATAAAGCAGAAAGTCCAAGTATCGGGATATTTGACGTCCAGCATTTAGGGTACAGATCTAACAAAACTGGGCAACACTATGCTAGCCCATGCTACACAAGTCAATACCAAAAAAGTTCATGGGTCAAATTATTCTCGACGCGACATACATAAATTATAAAAATGACCGAAAACTTCCTCAACATCTTAGAACCAGTTTATACTATCTGGTGATAAATATCCGCTCCTTCCATTTTTTTTTTTTTATCTCGCTTTGCTCGTCAACTCTTTTTTTATCTTAACGTTACCACGTCTGGTCCTTACCTGTTGGGGACTTACAAATTTCGACCATTTTAGCATTTTATTTGTTTCATCTTGTCACATCATGCCGTCTAAAACTTCGAAATACGTATACCACGGTCATAGCAAGATAATTTCAGGTGTAATAACAGTTTTAGAAACTACAAATAAGCCACTTTCTTTGCAAGAGTTAGTTGATGAAATGACCAGACGACAATTAGTGGTTTTTCAGTACGTAGAGTTTTTTTCAACATCCTGAATGTTGGAATTACGCCAGACTTCATCCTCTTTGGCATCACTGTACTCTAGTTAAACTACCTTCCTAACCTCCACCTTTTTTTAATAAATAGTGGTGCGACGCCAAGAAACACTGTTAGTGGTGAAATCAGCAAGCTTCTCAATGCGGTGGGTCCAAACAATGCGCCCATCCTAAAAGTTAACCAAGGCAAACTTACAAAATTCTTTTTGAGGCCGCGTAACCAACAAGATGCGCTGTATGGACATAAAATTGATCTATATATATCGACAATGATGTATACATTTGATTCTAAATGTAGTTTGATTTCGTCTTTAGGAAACAGGTTTCGGGTGGAAAAGTCCAAAAACGGCATCCCACCCGCTCCACACGTAACAATCATCACCCCCAAACAACGGTCACGACTTCTTCTGACACTACGGGTCAGAAAGAGCGCGTCAATGAACAAAAGAAACGTCGCCAAATGGAAGATCTCAAGTACGTAAATGCTTAATTATTGATCTTTCAAATGATGCGAAATCACCTGATTTAACGTGCAACAAAAATCCCACAGGGCTGCTTATCTACTTTCCTGTCTCTCCGCACATTCATTCTGGCTGAATTTTAAGAACGAACCGGAAAAAGATTTTAAATATTTTTTGGAAGCCCATGTTGGCGAGACAACTTTGATTTCAAGTGGTGCTATGGAAAACGATGTTGATCTTAAAAATGTGTCGATAGAGGTGGATTCGTGCACGACAAATTATTGACCAGTTGAGAGATGTCCGATTGCTTTCTAATTCTGAAATGACGCCTACCTAGGATAACACACCAAAATAAAAAAAAAAATAACAATAATCCAAGTAGATTTTATGGTTTCTCGATTCCCTAATAGACTTTAATACAATATTCTAGTAATTTTTATCTTAATTGTAGATATTAATCCTCTTCATTTTCTTACGATTCAATAATAATAACGCCAAAAAGTGAGCTAACATCAATAAGTTGGAATTATTTGCCTTTCCCTTAATAGCTTCTTGTAAAAAAAATTTTTTTCTTTTGCCACGGCCCCCTTCGCAGAATAGCTCCTTATTTCTTTTCTCTTTCAACCTCTTCCTAATTACTCCTTTGTAACTTTCATCGTTTCATTAGAACTTTGGGTTAACCTCCTTTCAAAAGACAATTAATTACACATTAAAAAAAAGAATAAAAATAAAAAATAGATTCATTTGGTTGCTAAAAGTAACAAAAATTATACATGTAATTTAAATGTCAAGCTTCTTTATCTATCCTTGAGGGATTGTCCACTTCGTGAGAACTACATATCACGTTTGGTGTGACGACGTCTACGTCCCTTGCATTAATTTCTTTGAATGGTTCATTATTATCACCGTCCGAAGAAATAAATTGATCATTCGCGTTTTGATCTACCGTCTCTACGAGAGTAACGTCCCGATGAGATTTTAATACATCGCTTGATTGTATACCCTTCACTTTGGTTTGAATCGGCGGCTGCACGTTTGAAACTGAGTGTACTGGATTTTGCTGGTTTTCCTGTTGAGACAGCTCTGTCGACACATTTGTAACTGTCGCTGATACTAATTTATTGTCGCTTTCACGACGCATCTTCAGCTGCTCCATTATCGACCGTGTTAACGAGAAGTCACCGTGTCCACGACCCTTCGGCTTGATTGGACGTGGTGCGCGCGAAAATTTAAGATTTTGTTGGGAGGAAATTTGCTTTCCGTCAACCGCGGGGTTAGGAATCGGAGGGATATTGATCGTCGATGTGAGAGCGAGATTTTCCGGAGCCACGCTGTTCGCTAACTCACTATTTGAATTCCGAGGAATCGTCGTCACATGTGGAGGCGGAGGAAACTGGAGTTTGAGAATGTTAATGTTGTTGGCTCGAAATTTGACAAACTTATATGCCAATTCACAATTTTTTTGATGATTTGATATCACCTGACGGTTGGGCTGATTAAAGTTTACAGCTGCCCACTGTGGATGATCTTGCTCAATTTGTATGATTTTAGCCTCCAAGATTTTTATTCTTGCATAAACATCCAAAGGTATGGGAGCAACTGAATTAAATATAATTACGCGTTTAACCCTTCCTCAATTCAATAATAAAATTGTACAACCCATTTAGATCGTGAAAGTGGTTACCTATATTTACGCCTAAATGTTTCTCTATATTTTGCAATCTTTCTTCGACGCCGGAAGGTAATTCGGTCAAAGGTCTTTTTTTTCCATCATTAATCTGATTCTTTGAAGAAAATGTGGAGCGAGCCAAAGGGCCATCATTGTTATTTACTACATCAAACTTCATTTGAATATTACGGTTAATCTCGGCTGCGTCCGATCGGGCACATGACGAAACATCTGATGTACGCGCAAAGTGGACCGATTATAAGACCACGTGATAAAATTTTTTTTTTCATGCGATCGAGTTTATTACCATCACTACTTGATTTTCTCAAAAACTCTGCTCGATTGCTATCGTTTATTTCCGATTTCTTGAGTTGAATAAACGCATTAATTCTCTGTTCAATCTGTATGGTCACATGGTTACTGTTGCAGTTCAAAGTTTGCAAAGTCATTTAAAAAGTTGGATTACATAAAGAATACCTCAGAATTTGTCGCTTTAATCTGGACTGTCTGCGGGCTAATCAATCTCTGAATTTTCCTTGCTGGATTTTCGTCGTCTATTCGGAGAAACACCACGATTAACTCTTAAACGATCAAGTAGTAAAATATAGGTCTTATATACAAACACGAAGGTTCATCATCGAGTTCTTTTTTCCTTTTAACAGAAGGTGAAGACAAATTGTTAATTTCTTTCCTCGATTTCCAAGACTAAAATTGAGGCCACCGTTATTTGCTGTTGTCAATGTACGCGTCAAATAAATATTTGAAAGAGACAAAAAATTACAGTCAACTCTTGCAATAACCATTCAACGTGTTTTAGCAATTGCTTTTCATAACTGGAAGAGAAAACGATTAATTCCGTTTGGAATGCTTGACTTGTTTCAAACATTCCGATCTAAAATCATTTTTACCATATTGAGTCGAAATTCACAATATACTCATTTTCAGAAATTAGTTTGGTTACTTGCCTTTGAGAGGAATTCTATCAGGATTTCGTGCCATTCCTTTAATTCCCGTTGTGATTTTTCCACTTGATTCGTGTGGAAATGTGTATTCAACTCGGCCATTATCAGTAGGCAACTACATTATATATGATTACCATCTACGAAAATTTAGATGCGTCGAAATTTTTATCAACCAATCACAGTTGTTTCACGTGATAAAAGAGAAAATGTTTCCTTTGATCGTAAAGGTTTTCGCAAAAATACGCATTTAAAGAAATTAGGCATTTATAGGAAGGAGCTCATATGAACTTGGGTTTCTGTATATTAGAATTATTGTTAACAATTTGTTTCTATTAATTATTGTAAAACCAATAAATTATTAAATTAAACATATTAAAAAAGGAAAAAAAAAAAATTCAAAGATTTTTTAATTGAATTAACAAATCTCTTTTCAAAAGAAGTTTAATTAATTAACAAATCTCTTTTCAAAAGAAGTTTAATTAATTAATAAATCTTTTTCAAAAGAAGTTTAATTAATTAACAAATCTCTTTTCAAAAGAAGTTTAATTAATTAACAAATCTTTTTTCAAAAGAAGTTTAATTAATTAATAAATCTTTTTCAAAAGACGTTTAATTAATTAACAAATCTCTTTTCAAAAGAAGTAAGTCTTTTTTATTATCAATTTAGTTACTAATCTTGTTTTTTTCATATAGTTTAAAAAAAGAACTGTATATAACAAATTATTATAATAACTTGCTTTAAAGATAGAAAAGATTTTCTTTTTTTAAAAAAAAACTTTATTACAATTAATAATAAAGATATTATTTGACTTTTCTTAATCATTAAAAATCAAGATTTTAATTAAAAGAATTGTAAATAAGAAAAAATATTAATAGTAATTCTTGAAAGTAAAACTTTATTAATTAAAAAGTCAAAAAATTTTTAATAAATATTATTTTTGCATGTAATTAAAGAGTTATTAGAAAAAATGTTTTTTATTTTAATCTAACTTTTTTTTTTTTAACCTATAGTCAAATCAATATAATATGTTTTTATTGTATATATATAAAATATTTACAAGATTGTTATGATTTTTACATGTTAACTTATCTATCATAGAAAAACTAATTCTCTAGATACAATCTAAAAAATAATATTTTACTTCTTTATTAATTTGAATTAATTTTAAATCAATAAAATCATTATATATAAGTCATTACTATTGATCATTCTAAGTTCTATCTGCAATTTAAAATTTGAACTATTTAATATTATAATAAACCCTTATAAAATCAAATAGTTTGATTTTTAACTGCAATAGAACTTAGAATAATCTATAATAATAATCTATAGGTAATGATTTTATTAATTAAAAAAGTTAGTCAAATTAATAAAGGAGCAAAATATTATTTTCTAGGTTATATTTAGAAAAATGGTTTTTCAATAATAAGTGAATTAGTATATAAAAGTCACAACATTTTGTAAATATTTAGTATATATAAAATAAAGATATACTATGTTAATCTGACTGCAAGTTAAAAAAATATATATATATATATATTATAATAAATCTTTTTTCTAATAATTTCTATATAATACTTTTTTTTTTTTCTTTTTTTTTTTTATTCTTTATTTTCTACTGAATGTAACATGGATTCTTTATAATCTTGTATAATTAATATATTTAATTTGTTTTTATATTTCTTTATTTGTTTTTTTTTTTTTTTTTGATAATATTCAACTTTTTTTTCAATTTATTATTTTAGTACAATAATTATTTCAGATCTTTTTCTTGAAATTTTTTTATATCTTCTAATAACGTTTATTAATTATAAACTATATAATTATTAAAAAACTCATAAATTGTTCTTTAAAATAGTTTTTTAAGGATATAATTCTGTTTTTTTTTTTTATATTTATATATAATATTGAAAAAATTTCTGGTTTATTGTTAAATATCTTTTAATCAGTTCTTTGTACAATTAATTATCTTCGATAAGACTTTTTTTTATCTTCTATTTCTTTATCAATATAAAAATTGATTATTTTATATACTTTCATTTATATAATGTATTTTTACTGGCTTCTTTTGTAATTAGATATTTAAAGAATAATTCAATATTTCCTCTTATAGTTTATATAAGAAGTAAATAGTTAGTAAATAAACTTCTAGATTTTTTTTTAAGTATTTATAATATTGAACATTTATTGTGAATCAAATCTGTTAAGAAACTTTTGTCTTTATTGACTTTAAAGGATAAAAGATGTTGAATAAATTGAAATGGTTTCAAAAAATTGATTAATCTATATTTTTGTCTTATTGAATTTAGAAATCTTGAATTCTTTTTTATAATATCTAGTTTAAACTAATTTTTTTTGTTTATTATTTGGATAAAGTTCTTGATATTAATATTTATTATATATTGTATTTCCTTTATACAACTATTATTAAAACTCTCTCAAGCTTTAATAATTAGCGTTATAATATTATATGTTTATGTCTGATTTGTTTAATAAAGAAGTCTACATAATTATTAAAATTATTAATACTATGAGTTTTGATCTTCTTTATTTTAAGAATAAAATCTTTTTTCTAAATCAAGTTTTGAATTTTATTCTATAATAATTAGTTAATCTTTTTTATCTATTTTTTTATTAATACTTTTTTTTGTAAGCAGATAGACTTTCATATTTTGACAGTAGTATTATAGTCTATAATAATTAAAACTATTGTACTTTGAGGGGTTATATATAGAGCAATAAAAATAATTAATATTTTTTCTCTTGTTATTAATAACTATAATACTACTTCTACTAAGAACTACTTGGTAATCTTGTTATTCTCTACTATAATCTACATAAAACTCATTTCTAGTTCACTATCTTTTTGCTAGCTTTTTGATAAAGCTATATAACATAGTTATCTATTTTTATTTTATTATATTTTAAAATATCTATCAATTTATTCTGATATTTTTTTGATTGAATAGCTTGTTTGGTCAATATTATATCACAATTTTCTACTTATATATCTATTTCAATGAAGTTAGTATTGAATGAAAATATTCTTTGATGACTTATAGATATTTATAGTCTGTAGAATTTCCTAAAAGAAAGGTTTGCTTTCTTTTTTTTAAACTTATTTATTTATTTAAATATGGAAACAAATAAATTTATATAAATAATATTTTGAATAATTAAACTATTATACAGTATTTGAATAAAGAAGAATATAATTATTAGTATAATTATATAAGAGCTAATATGGGATAAAATAAATTTTGCTATATTAAATTTAATCTTTCTTATCTTGTCATAATAGGTATTGAGAAAGATTTTTCAATATATTTTTCTTTTATCTAGAGTTGATAGTATTATTTCAATTTATATGTTATAACTTGTTTAGTTCATTCTATATAATAACTTTTATAGAAATCTTGATTTACATTTGTTTTTTTAAATATACTATATTTTTGAATTAAAAGAGGATTAATTTCTTGTATCTGTTATAAAAAATTTGAATTACTCTTTAGTCTTTAAATATAATTGTAGTGATATTGATTTTTTTTTTAAAAAATCCATGATCAGACCATTACTGTATGTTTATTAATCATTAAGAAAATTAATAGAGATATATAGGACAATTGTATTGTAGTTAAACTAAAAACTTATATCATATACTTATCAATAGCTTTCAATTCTCAAAAGAGCTTCAATCTCTAAGTACAATCTTGGAGACAATATTTTGCTTCATGATAGATTTTAGATAAATACTCTTCTAATTTATCTATTATTGCTAATAGATTGTTACTACTTATTATTCTCTAAAGAACTATTTTCAAGAAACTTCAAAAGGAAAAAGGAAAAATAAAAGGAAAAATAAAAAATAAAAGGAAAAATAAAAATAAAAGGAAAAATAAAAAATAAAAGGAAAAATAAAAAATAAAAGGAAAAATAAAAAATAAAAGAAAAAAGGAATATCCAAAACTATATAAGTACACTATATGAAAAGAAAAAGAAAAATAAAAATAAAAGTACATCATGTCCTCCAAAAAATCTTTGTTGAAAATCTCTTCTCATTAGGAATCAACCCTTCTGAAATATCTTTTTTTTTCCTAATTGTCTAAGGAACTTATTTATTCATGTTTTTGATTATTTTCTTGTAACTATCTGAGGTACTTATTACCTACTCAGATCCAGTATATTGCTCAACACTTCCTTTTTTTTTTATCTTGATTTTATGTTTATTCATGTAGAAGAAGATAATTAAGATAAACTTCAGGTTCTTATATAACTTTTTAGCCTTGTTATATAACTCTTGATATCTTCTAGCAGCCACATCTAGTTAAAAGAATTTTATTGGTATTCATCTTGATTGCAATATCATTACACAACATCTGGAAAAATGTATTCTCAATTCTAGAGAAGAACAGTATTTTACATTTCTTTGCTTTTCGATCTTATAACCTGATCAGAGATAAGAAAATAACTTACTTCACATACTTTATTTGATCAAAATAATAAGAAGTTGAAGATCTCAGTTTGAACAAATATTATTTTTTTACTATCTAAGAAATTTAGTACCTATTTTAATAGCCTTATGATTTCTTTAATTCAATTATTCTTAATTTGAAGAAGTGAAGGAATTTGTATGAATAATTTTTCTTTTTTTTTACTAATAACATCATTAAAATACATAATGTAATCAATAAGAGCTTGTTTATATTCTGCTATTACCATAAACCACTGTATACAATACCCCAGGTATTAATCAATTTACCCCATTATAAATTGATTAGTATCCGGGGAGTATTCTACTAGAAGGGGGGTAGTATAAATGGCAGGATATTTAGTATCTCTCACTTGTCCATTCATACTGCAATTTTATTGGCTCTAGCTTAATATACCCAGGTAGTAATCATTTATTGA